GCAGTTACGTGTCAGGAACTTACTACAAAAACTTAAACAAGAATATCACGATCCGTTTTTTTTAGGGCTAATCGGTCCTGACGGACGACTGACAAGGAGAGTGCTGGTTGAAAAAGTTGTGTTGAGTTTTGATTTCTCGTCATATATACTTATCCGTGCATGACAAGCAGGACGAACGTGGTGTTGAAGAAGATCCGTTTGGACGCTGGTCCTGAGGTCAACGACGAGCTGCACCCTAGACGAGAGTTTGCAGTGACATTTTTCTTTTCAAATGTGCGCTTAGACTTTAACGCCATGTCATGTTGGCGTATCTGCCAGGAAACCGGAAGATGAGTGTATGCAAACGCGGCGACTTCTCAACATGGAGTGGGGGTCTTAATTCTTGTACACAAACCATAACTAAATGTTTCTCCCAACATAATGCGGCGGCCGAGGATTGCAGGCATCCACCACTGGCATCTTTTCCAGACACCTGTCTAGTATTTAGTTTAGAATAAGATACCCCTGCTGCCCCATTCATGCAGCTGTGCTCGTAGGTCAGCCTCTGTGACGCACCCGAGCATCCTCAAGCTCGTCGAGATGGAGTAAAGGCCTCAGTTCCTGTAAGACCGCATGATAACATCACCGCACGCGCGTATATTGTCTAAGGTCTCGTGCAGCTGACCACTGCTCTGACATTGTCTGGACCTGGAGGTTGCAAGAACGTTAATATTCTTAACATACATAAATATGTGACAATTATACATTTCTATAAGAAATTTTATCAAGCATATATGTCTTCAGGTCGACCGCTGCAACAAATCCAAATATCGACGATGAGATCTTCAGCCTTCCTCGCGGACAGCATCAGTGTGGCTTAGCTTGTATTATTATTTTATTTTCGTATCATTGATAAAATTAATATTTTTAGTAATACTAGTATTATTATAACTATTTGTCTTATTAAAATATAATCGAAAACAATGCATTACCATGACTGCAAGGAAGCCCATCGGGTTTTGCTTGAAGATGGACAGTATCTTTACTTGGTGTTTCTGAGCTGCATCTAAGATTCGAATGTCTCTCTACAATCCTGCACGCTTCAATTTTTAAGGCGACACTTTGGCGAAGAATATAATTTTTCGGACCTTTACGACAAAGAAGACTGCAACGACAAAGGCTCATCGAGTTCTTGTTCTGTGTGAGTTCTTTTTCTTGCGCTAGGAATTAAAAGAGGCATGCTCATGGTCAAGATTGTCGCGATTCTCCTGGTACAAGGGCTTTGCGCGCAAAGGACTCGTCTGATGAGCAGACTTACGTGCGAATAATATTAAATTACATGTCATCGAGATTTGCATTGATGCGGAAAGGACGTAATTCGTACTACGTCCGAAACAATATTCCCAGGCGTCGACGTCGAGGCGGCATAAAATACTAGACCACACAGACTCATCATGAGTCCTTGCGTTTACGCAGATGCTGTGGTTCGCCCCGAGAAGAGAAACTTGGCATTCGTTGTTAATCCTGCGCGCAGCAAGAAGTTGAAACATAAAAGGATGATGATCTCCGACATACTCCCAGACCTTACACTTCGAATCCTGCAGCAAGGTTAATGGTCTTCGTTGCAAGTGTATAAAGGTTCGACTTCAAATCTGAATCAGTGGAATTTACGATCCTGAAATAATAAGACGCGAAATCATCTGACAGGATGACGATGGGGAAGATCTTGACTGAGCGTGTTCAGCTTTCACATGAGAGATCGAGTAGATGATTTATGCTGCCGAGATGCGGTAGGGCCACAGGAAAGGTTGTTCGGGAAGCTAAGCAGCTATGTTAACGAGTATCCCGAAGCTTCTCAAGTCTCGTTTTTGTTAGTTTTTTTCTTTAGAGTTTAACGTTGCTTCTCGGATTGCCTGGTAATTCTAAACCCTAGAGCATGAACTCTACATCTTAATCTTCAATACTAAAACCTAAACCCTAAACCCTAAGTCGAAATCTTTAAACCCAAAACATTGAAATGATAAACCTTAGAGTCTCAATCATATAATTAAAGTCACGCAAGAATCGAGTGACTCAAAGCTCCCAAGTATCGTTTTTTTCTGGATGTTGTTTTTTCTTTAGGGTTTAGAGTTTTACGGTGCTTCTCAGACTGTCTGGAGATGAATGGCCCTTGCTGGATCTCAGACGTCGAGGCATTCAAGCATAGGTTCCTGGATGCCAGAGCTAATTCTGCAGGATGTGGACAGTCAGATCTCTAGAGCGCGAGCCACTACCATCTACAGGAAGAAAAGGAGACAAGCACATCCAGAGATGCTGGACTCAGAGCTGCTCGCAGCATGTTAGTTTTCCAAGCACAGCTCTGAGCAAGAAAGCTGGAAGGCGTCTTAGATGAGGATCACGACCTTCAGGGTTAGGGGTTAAATATGAGAGTTCAAGGGGTCAGGGTTAAGGCTCAGAGTGTTTCAAGGCGGAGGGTTTAATGTTTTCGATTTAGGATTCGGAATTAAGGGTTTAAAGTTGAGGGTGCAAGGCTTAAAATCTAGGGAGTAGAAACTGACGAGGAATGTTAGACAGGTGGAGATGTATGATCAGCTCCGAGCTCGAGCTCAGTCTCAGGACTCTCTCCATCTGTATCTTCATCTACGCGGGGAGTTTGTTTAGTAAAGTAAGGCCCTTGTGGGTTTAAGGTTCAGGGCTTAGAGTTCAAGGTTTACAGTTTAAAGTTTAGGGTTTAGGGTCTATGGCTTATGGTTTTGTGGATAAGGTCTCTCTGGAACCTCAACTGGCCGGGCGCAGATGAGCAGAGACCCTTTTTAAGCTGCATCATAGAAGGGGCTAAACCTAAAACCCAACAACCCGAACCTTTAACTATAAACCCTAAACCTTCACCCTAAACCTAAACCCGAAACCCTAAAACCTAAACCCTATACCCTAAACCATAAACTTAAAACCCTAAACCTTAAACCCTAAACCCTAAGCCATAAACCTTGTAGGTTAAAGCCTAAACCGTGCAGTTTGTTTTTGCCATGTACAGCTTATCTGAAGCGCGAGCCATCACGACTTATCTTAGTAAAAGCGACACACATAAGCAGAAATGATGGACTCGCAGCTACTCGCAGCAAGTCAGTGTTTCAAGCAAAGCTATGAGCAAGGAAGTGAGAAGATGCATCGGACTACAGTCACGACCCTAGAGCTGAACGTTAAAAGTTCGGACTTCGTGGGTTTAAGGTTAACTGTTACAGGTTTCAAGGTTTAGGAGCAGATTTTAAAGATTAGGTTTAAGAAGTTAGGGTTCAGGGCTCAGAGTTTAAGGTTTCAGGTTCAGCACAAAGAAACGCTGAGGAATGTTAAAGAGGTGGAGACGTATGAGCATTTCCGAGCACAAGCTGAGTTTAACGGCTCTCCTGATCTGTTTTTGTCTGCGCTAGGAGTGTGTCTACTAAAGTGAGGCCCTTGTGAGTTTGGGGTTTTGGGCTTAGTAAATCCTGCAGGAAGTAGTGGCTTTGTGTTTCAATGCGGACAATCAGATGACAATCAGATCTCTAGAGCACGAGCCAGTATCGTCTAGAACAAGAAAAGGCGACAACAACATGCAGAGATGCTGGACTCTCAGCTACTCGCAGCATGTTAGTTTTGCAAGCACAGCCCGCAGCAAGGAAGCTGGGAGGCGTCTTAGATCAGGATCACGACCTTAAGGGTTAGGGTTGAAATATGAGAGTTCAAGGGATTAGGGTTAAGGCTCCGAGTGTTTCAAGGTGGAGGATTTAATGTTTTCGACTTAGGATTCAAAGTTAAGGGTTTAAAGTTCAGGGTGTTAGGCTTAAAATCTAGGGAGTAGAAACTGATGAGGAATGTTAGACAGGTGTAGATGTATGAGCAGCTCCGAGCTCGAGCTCAGCTTATGACTTTCTTCATCTGTGTCTTCTTCTGCGCGGGGAGTTTTTGAAGTAAAGTAAGGCCCTTGTGGGTTTACGGTTTAGGGCTTAGAGTTCAAGGTTTAGGATTTAGAGGTTAAGGTTTAGGGTCTATGGCTTGTGGTTTAGTGAATAATGTCTCTCTGGAGCCTCAACTGGCCGGGCGCAGATGAGCAGAGACCCTTTTTAAGCTGCATCATAGAAGGGGCTAAACCTAAAACCCAACAACCCGAACCTTTAACTATAAACCCTAAGCCTATACCCTAAACCCGAAACTCTAAAATCTAAACCCTATCCCCTAAACCATAAACCTTAAACCTTAAACCCTAAACCATAAACCTTGAAGGTTTAAACCTAAACCGTGCATTTGTTTCTGCAATGTACAGACTATCCGAAGCGCGAGCCATCATGACTTACCTTGATAAAAGCGACACGCATAGGCAGAGATGATGGACTCGCAGGTACTCGCAGCACGCCTGTGTTTCAAGCACAGCCATGAGCAAGGAAGCGAGAAGATGCGTCGGATTACAGTCACGAGCCTAGGGGTGAAAGTTAAAAGTTAGGACTTCGCGAGTTTAAGGTTTACTTTTAAAGGTTTCAAGGTTAAGGGTCAAAAAATAAAGATTAGGTTTAAAGGGTTGAAGTTCAGGTTTCAAGGTTTAACGTTTCAGGTTTAGGGAGTAGAAAGCTGAGCTATACTTGAACAGATCGAGACATGTAGTGGACGCGTTCATTTAAGAGCATATATATTCCTATATTTATCGCGTTTGGCTTTGTTTATTTAAGAGGGCTTATATAAACTAAGCCAAAAGAACCCTAAAGGTCTCAGGCTCATATATATATATATCTATTTATCTATGCATGTATCTATCTATCTATCTATCTATCCATATATCTGTATATATTTGTATGTCTTTTGATGTATTTGTTTATATTTATGCCCGGCATTGCAGCAATGCCAAGAGTTGCTGTGGATGCAGTGACGGGTTCGAGTCATCAGCTCACTCCTAGGATGACATCCCCCCAGTCCTGGTCTTGCAAAGAGGGTTTAGGGTTTAGGGTTTAGGGTTTAGGGAACACCTTTCTATAAAAGCCATCTTTGCACAGGATGACCTCCCTCCAGTCCTGGTCTTGCAAGCGCCTCTCCTCCAACTCCACTCTGGTCAGCGCCCTCTACCGCAGGCCTCTGCGGGAGTTGAGTTTGTGGTTTTTTTTGGGTTTAGGGTTTAGGGTGTAGGGTTTAGAAACAAACACCCACGAGTCAAGCCCTATACCTCGGCGAGGAGCTTCACCACTGGAGCTGGCTCCCAGCGGCCCAGACTGTATCCTTACTGTTGGCTACCAGGTTTAGGGTTTAGGGTTTAGGGTTTAGGGCTTAAAGGGTATATAGGGGATATATGGTACCTTATCCATGTATCCTTACTGTTGGTTACTAGGGAATGGGGGAAGAAGGTACCATATATCATGCCTCAAAGGGTTAGGGTTTAGGGTTTAGGGTTTAGGGGATAGGCTTTAGGGCTTAAAGGGTATATAGGGGATATATGGTACGTATTCCACTATATTCCCTACTAACCAACAGTGGGTCACCTCCATCGGCTTGGGAGGTTTTAGGCTTTTAAGCGTTTGGGGATTGGGATGTTCCCCCTTATACGAAGAATCTCTACTAGGGATTATAGTACCCCCTGTTAGAATCCCTTTTAAGGACTGCTAGTATAGGGGGGGAAGATTTGAGGTTTAGGGTTTGGGGTTTAGGGGTTTGAGGGGGTGTTCGTAAGGGTTTGTTGGGGTTAGGGCTCTAGGGTTTAGGGCTTCGCGTTTAGGATTGAGATGTTTTCAGGGTTGCGGGTTGAAGGGCTTGCAATTTCAGGGCTTCGCAAGGGCTTATCAGGATTAGTAACCCTAAACCCTCAACCCGCGCTTTCAGGATTCAGAGTTTATGTTTTGCCTCTAACCCTGGCCCAAACCCCAAGCCCTAATCCCTAGACCCTTAGCCCTGAGCCCTAAACCCTCACAAGCCCTAGGCCCTGAGCCCAAACCCCACACTATACGCGTGCACGGACCCGTTGGTTCTTGCAGTCAAAATCGGCAATTGGGCTTGTCGCAGGCCTGTCCCGAATTCATGACACAGAGGTTTTGTCACTGAGATTTCTTGAGTGTTTGGGAGATTAGGGTATATGGCTAGGGTTTAAGGTTTAAGGTTTAGCGTCTAAGTTTAAAGTTGAAGGTTTAAGGTTAGGGTTTAATGTTTGAGGTTTGGGTTCAGGGTTCAGGGTGTAGCTGTCAGCCACAAGGATGCTTGGAACCCCCGAAGCTCGAAATACCCCAAGCCCTAAACCCTAAACCCTAAACCCTAAACCCTGAACCCTGAACCCTGAACCCTAAACACCCTAAGCCCCAAAGCCTGGCGCAGCCCAGGATCGTGACAGGGCTGGAAGCCTCTGAGTTCCTCCGGCAGAACTCGGACTTCCGCGAGCACAGCAGGCCCAGTAGCACTTCATTGGGGTTTAGGGTTTAGGGTTCAGGATTTAGGGTTTAGGATTTAGGGTTTAGGGTCTATAGGCTATAGGAATGCGTGTGCTGGGCTAGACCACGGACCTCTGAAAAGGAGAACCCAGTTCAAAAAGCTACCCTCGCATGTAGGGGGCAGTCCCGTGTTCCCGGCCTTGGTCTCTTTGAGGTGACCTCTTCATTAGGGTTTTCAACTTGATTGCAGGGAACCCTCACCCTAAACCCTAAACCCTAAACCCTAAACCCTAAACCCTAAACCCTAAACTCTAAACCCTAGTCAAACTCTGAGACCTAGGTGTCCTAAATTGATTCCCAGAGGACTCGCCTGACCCTCCCTGATTCCAGAGGCCTGCGAATCATTCTGGGCCCAGCCATGGTTTATAGATCCTCATTGACCCCCATGATTCCAAAGGCCAAGAAATCCCAAAGTTTAGGGTTTAGGGTTTCGGGTTTAGGTCCACCTCTCTCAATTTTCCATTAACCCTAAATCCTAAAACCCCAAACCCCTCCTCTACCAGGCCTTTGGTGGGTGGAAGCGAGGTTCCATGCACGCGGTTTGATCAGTTCGCCAATCTTGCGAAGAGACTTCGGCTGGAGGGTTTAGGGTTTAGGGTTAGGGGTTTAGGGTGTAGGGTTAGGGTTTAGGGTTTAGGGTTTAGGGTTTAGGGTTTAGGGTTTTGGGTTTTGGGTTTTGGGTTTTGGGTTTAGTGGTTTGGGTTTTGGGTTTTGGGTTTAGGGTTTAGGGTTTTGGCCCTAAACCTTAAACCATGAACATCAAAAAGGCCCAATCCTAGACTTCTAAAGCCCAGCTTCTCACGCATTGGTCGTGGCCCTTCACCCCACCTCACGTGTGTCAAGGAAGCTCCACTTGAGGGATTTTTGGACCGCCCGCCTTCCTAAAATCCGGGTAAACCAAGCTTCCCAAAAGCCCCGCACCATCCCGAAGTCGGAGTGTCCAAATCTTGCGCTTTTTGCCACACCTGTAGGCTGTCTAGGGTTTAGTGCTCTGCCCCTCAAATCGTGTAAGACGGACTTCTACTAAAGCTACTACTACTCCTCTTCCTACCCCTGCTCCTACTCCTACTGCTGCTACTGCGACTGCAGCCGAGGATGTTGCCACCGCCGTCTGGGAAGGCTGACAGCTCAAAGTGCGCCTCAGCATGATTTGTTTTGAACACGCGCGGTGCGCATGGTGAGTGCAGTGTGTAGTATATATACATGTATATATGTATATATGTATATATGTATATATGTATATATATATATGTATATATGTTTATTTGTTAATTTATTTTCTAGTACAGAATTATCTCTTCGTTTGTATGTACATATAAGCTCGGTATATGCACAAAGACGTATGTATAGCGGTGATAGGTAGAGTTTAGGGCTCCCCCTCATAAAAGGCTGTTGAGGTTGGTTGGGATGAGCTTATGGAGGGTTTGGAGGTTTGGAAGTCAAGCTCCTCTTCGTGTTTTTGTCTGCGTGTGCTGTTGCCCAGTATCTTCTTAGGAGTCGTGCTTTTGGAAGCCAGGGGAATATGTTGACATGAAACGCTAGAGGAGTCTGGGGAGGTATATGGCTACAGCATTGGTGTCCCCCCCCCCCCTCCCCCCCTCCTAGGCAAGATCTTTACCATCGCTTACCCAGACACGGATGGCGCGCCCCTGGCTTTCCACTTGAATGAGACTGGTCGGCAAAGCGCGAGATTGAGTGAGGGGACCAGGGGAGATGAAGCCGCCTCCCCGAAAACCCTAACCTCGAAAGCCCTAAATGTCCTTTCTGGTCCTGTGCGGCCTCATGGTTATGAAAGAGGGTTAAGGGTGTATAGGATTTAGGGTTTAGGGTTTAGGGGCGGATCTCAGGTGAACTCGTGGCACCGCCACACGCAGGACGTCTGCGATGAGCCGATCCTGATCAACGACACAAATGTAGGGAGCTCACAGACCCTAAACCCTAAACCCTAAACCCCAAACCCTAAACCCTAAATCTCTCTGAGGCCCTGAACCCGCATAAAAGCTTGAAGCCCTGTAAGCCCTATAGAGTTCAAAGCTTGAGATCCTCTTTTAAGCCCTGGAGACGCTTTAGGGTTTAGGGTTTAGGGTGTAAGGTATATAGGGTTTAGGGTTAGGGCTTGGGGTTTGGGGATTGGGGTTAGAAAAGGGTTCAGGGTTTAGGGCTAGGGCTTGTAAAGTTTAAGGTTAAGGATGCAGGAGTTAGCACTGGGCTTGAAGGATTGGGCAAGGCGTCCGCAGGATCCCGCACAAAAAAGCTTGGAATTTTTCTAGGGGCCTTTTGGTAGGGTAGAAGCCGTAATTTTCCCAAACCTTAAAGTGCTGTGTGAGTAATCAAACCTCAAACCCTTAAGCCCTTCACTGCCTTTGGAAGCCTAAGCCGTAGCCCCCAAGCCCTTGGCCACAAACCCTACATCCCAAAATCCTAAACCCTAAGCCCTTCCCTAGCGCTACACCTAAACCCCAGAGCACAAGCCCTCGACCTCTCAGAACCATGGGTGGAAACAAGTGCATGGCGCATATCTGTGCGATTGCACCTATCCAATTTGTTCAGTTCCGAGTTTATGCCCTAAGGGCTTTTCGGGTCTAGAGCCGTGCATATGACAGTTTATGGGGTTGGAATTGAAAGCCTGATTTTACATGGACCCTTCCACCCCACAGCTTAGCAGACGACCCACATGGGCAGTTCTCTACTCTTATTTTCAGGGTTTCGTACGCTCCTAAACCCTAAACCCTAAACCCTAAACCCTAGCCCTAAGCCCTAAACCCTACACCCCAAATAGGCATCCAGAAAGGGATACTGATTTAGAGAACTACCCACATGACTTTCAGGTGAAGCAGTATATCCCGGACCTGCCGAAGGAATATTTCCGGCTACCCGGAACCCAGGACCCCCAGCGACCGAGCAGAGGGTTTAGGGTGAAGGGTTTAGGGTTTAGGTTTAGGGTTTAGGCTTTATTGTTTAGGGTTAGGGTTCAGGGCGTAGCAGGAGGGGGGGAGGGGTTAGACGAAGGCTAAGGTGCTGAAGAGCTTCGGGATCTTTGTTCAGGAGCCTTACAACAACTGTGGAGCAGTGTGAGGTCCAGGGTCTGTAGGGTCAATGGTCCCAAGCTCTTAAAATCATAAGGCCATGGAATTGTGGTTCTGTTCATGTTGGCTTTGTTTGCTTTGCTTCCCCTCCCCTCGCCGCTGAGTGTTTGTACTTGAAAGTCAAAGGCCACAACCTTGTGAAGCTTAAACAAAACTTCTACGACCCTAGTACCTAAAATCCCTATAGCTCGAACCCTTACTCTAAACCGTCTAAACCCGAAACCCTGAACCCTGAACTCTAAACCCTAAACCCTAAACCAGACTGCGGATTCATATGCCAGGAAAAGCTAGACTTGATCCGCCACGGCTTCTTGGGCGCAAAGTTTACTTCGAGGGGCGGTGGGCGTGAAGGATGGTTGCATGTTGCCCTTTGGGGGGGTTCAGGGTTCAGGATCTTAGGGTTTAGGGTTTATGGTTAGGTTTTACCCTAAACTTAGACCCTAAACCTAGACCCTAAAGGCTTCAGGGCTTTAGGGGGGCTTCCGGTTTAGGGCTTGAAGTTCAGGAGTTTTGCTTGTTGGGACTCAGTCCCCTCTCCACCCTGACATCTTCCTGCTTCTGTAGCTCAGTAGTTCTTCGCACCCTGTGAAGGAGCCCTTGTTTACCAATTCCTAAACTGGCTAGCCCTGAAAACGCTGGAGCTCCAACCCCTAACCTCAAGGATCCCCAAACGCGCTCAATCCAATACCCCAACCCCAAGCCCGCAAACCCTAAACCGTTTAACCCCCAAAAGAAATACAAACTAAACCCCCTAAAACCCCATGTAGACCCTATAGCCGGAAGTGCCAGCGAGTCGAAACCTTGCCCACAAGGTTTGATCTATCACCATGGAGGCGCGAGAAATGGGGCCCCAGATCTCAGTGCACGGCGTCAACCCCGTTAATTGCAGGGCCTGTCAATCCGCTTACTTGCAGGGCCTAGAGTTTTGGGGCTTGGGGTTTGGGATTTAAGGTTTAGAGCTAGGGCTTAGGATAGGTTTAAGTTCTTGCGTTCGGGTTCAGTCAGTTTTTAGAGACCAGTGTGTTCGGGTTGAGGGAAAGCAGGGACCTCTGAGCCACTAAACGCTAATCCTCTACATGCACTACTACACATTCACATGTGGAGTCTGATTCTTGACGGTGTAGGCTTAGGGGCCTTAAGGATCCTGGTTTCAGGTTTTGAGGTGCAGGGCTTCTCGGGTTCAACACAGGCCTTAAAGGCCTCCCGGAGCGACAGCCAGCGCAGGTATGGTCTTGCAGTGGGCTGGGCACTTACCTTGTGTAGCTGCCATCACAGACTTGAGGTTTGACTTGGGGTCTTCAGATCTGAGGATGTGCAAGCAGTTCCGGCGCACCTGCAAGTGCATATTCTATCTGCTGAGGATGTTGTATTTCTGCAAGACCTCAGCCGGGTGGTCGAGAAGATTGCAGAAAACGCCCCTCGCCTGGCATTCTGGTTTTGCCGGTTCCTATAATGTAGGGGTCGGAATAATGACTGATAATATTCCCCTATGGCCCCTTTAGACATACGTACTGTAAGAACCCCCAAAACCCTGTTCTAACCATTAAGGACCCTATATTAGTCCTTGGTCACAGGCTTGGCTTCACATGCACGGCTGGCCAGTCGGGGGGTGGAGCCAGTCGGGGGGTGGAGCGTCAAGAATGAACAGTGGTCACGGCCTTCACCACCAGAACCAGCGCCACAACGACGAGCCTCCCAGGGAAGGTGGCATTGAAATCCCGGCATATCCCCGACCCTACTTGCTTTATTCGAGCACGGCTTCTTGTCATCTGCAACGCCGATGAAATCAGTGTAGCACCTCTGCAATTATCCATGTCAACCTCGCTATCATTGCTAGCATCATGGGCACGGTCTGTGTGGTATGGTTCTCAGTTCTTCCGCATCGTCTTGCAGTCGCGATAGAAGCTTCCTTGGCAGAGCTCAGGATCTGGTCTCGCAGCTCTGCGGCAGTCAGTTTCAACTCGACAAAGCTACAGGTCACGGTCGCCCTTGTCCTTATCTTGCATTCGCATGTTTACCCCTAAACCCCTGAACCCCAAACCCTAAACCTTAATCTCTGAACCCTAAACCCTGAACCCTAAACCCTAAACCCTAAACCCTAACCCCTAAACCCCTAAACCCCGGAACCCCAAACCCTGGAGCCCAACTCCCAGGTTAATGACGGGGATGGTATCTCCAAAGCAGACCTCTTAATGAGCCACGATGCAAGACCATTAGGGCGAGTTAAGGACACAAACCCATCCCCGGAACCATCAGGGGCCATAAGCCCTATAAACCCCCATAAGCCCTGTGCGCCCTGATAGCCCTGCAGCCCGTCAACTCTAACATCCCCATAAATCCGATCAGCCCCATGATGAACCCCTAAATTTCCTAAACCCTCAAGCCTTTAAACACCCCTAAGCCCCATCATCCCTAAACCCAAAACCCTTGAAAGCCTGAACCACAAAGGCCCTGCAATCGCCCCGGATGTACACTCTAAATAAACCTCCCCAGACATGAAGCCCTGAAACCCTTAAATGAAGCCCTAAAGCCCTCATCCTCTAAAGCCCTAAACCTCTAAAGCCCTAAAGCCCTAAACCCTAAACCCTAAACCCTAAACCCTAAACCCTAAACCCTAACCCCTAAACCCTAAACCCTAAACCCCGGAAGCCAAGAAGCAAAGGTCTGAGGAGCGCAAGCAGGGCGAAGCCTTCACCTGCAGCGACTCATGGCAGATCCTCTTCACTGCAGGTGGCTTGGGGTCTAAAGAGCCCTTCTGCACCCCTAAGCCCTAAACCCGAAACCCTAAACCCTAAACCCTAAACCCTAAGCCCTAAACCCGAAACCCTAAGCCCTATACCCATAGAGGGGGTTAAGGGCGAAGGAGTTGAGGGTTAAAGGGTTTGGGGCTGAGGGTTTAAGGGCTGAGTAGAGCAGTCAGGGTAGTTCTGGCTTCATGCCGAGTGGGCGATTCAAAGCTGCCAGCGAACCCTAAGGCCTTGAAGCCCTACAGCCGGAACGCCCTGAACCCCTATGTTTAGGGTAGGGTTTAGGGTTTAGGGTTTAGGGTTTAGGGTTTAGGGTTTAGGGTTTAGGGTTTAGGGTTTAGGGTTTAGGGTTTAGGGTTTAGGGTTTAGGGTTAGGTTTAGGGTTTAGGGTTTAGGGTTTAGGGTTTAGGGTTTAGGGTTTAGGGTTTAGGGTTTAGGGTTTAGGGTTTAGGGTTTAGGGTTTAGGGTTTAGGGTTTAGGGTTTAGGGTTTAGGGTTTAGGGTTTAGGGTTTAGTAGGGTTTAGGGTTTAGGGTTTAGGGTTTAGGGTTTAGTAGGGTTTAGGGTTTAGGGTTTAGGGTTTAGGGTTCAGGGTTCAGGGTTCAGGGTTTTGGGCCTAAGCCCTAATCCCAAAACCCTGGACCTTAATTAGGGCTAGTAGGGTTTCGGACTCCCAGAGTCCCCTCCACCTGCAAGCCCCCTATGGCCCCAAAAAGTCCCCAGATCCCTTGACGCCCTGGTTTAGGGATGATTCCGAAATCCCTACATGATATTAAGGATCCTGAATACACAGTAGGGAATGAATGCCCCACAAGCTTTTCGAGGTTCCTGAAAGTAATGGAGGGAAGCTCGGCCAGTGGCTTAGAATCGAGGGTTCCCGCATTCGGGCGGTTTCGAAACCCTAAACCCTCAACCCTAAACCCTAACTTCCTAAACCCTAACTTCCTAAACCCTAAACCCTGAACCCCAAACCCTAAACCCTAAATGCTACGGGGCATCTCCATTGGCAGGTAAGAGCCCTAAACCCTAATTTCCTGAACCCTAAACCCTAAATCCTACGGGGCATCTCCATGGCAGGTACGACACCCCTATACTTAAACTCTAAACCGTAAACCCTAAACCCTACGGGGCATCTCCATGGCAGGTAAGAGGGGGAGTCTCCTCCACGGAGCCATTTGGCAGGAGGCCAAAGATGCGGCCGCTCGGCGGCCAAGGATGCCCGAAAGCTCCGGGCTCCCCGGGTTCTGGTTAGGGCTTCGGGTTTCGGGTTTAGGGATTAGGGTTTAGGGCTAGGGTTTCGGGTTTAGGGTTTGGGGTTTGGGGTTGGGGTTTAGGGTTTAGGGTTTAGGGTTCAGAGCTAGGGTTTGGATGGTGTTTGGATGGTGCAGGGTTATCGGGAGTTATGGGTTGATCTGGTTATAGGGTGATAGGGTTATCGGGTGAGAGAGTTCTAGCTTGAGAGGTTTCTGGGTTGGCTAGGTTAGGTTATGGGCGCTGCTTTTTGCACGGGGCGTTTGGGGCATCAGAACCCTAACCCTAAACCCTAAACCCCAAACCCCAAACCCCAAACCCCAAACCCTAAACAACCCTCCACATCGTCGCACTCAAAAGCGACGAGCTGGTGCTGCAGGTTCTCAACCACTGCCCTCTTTCTGACCAGGCGCGACTGGTGGCATTCAGCCCTAGGGTTTAGGGGTTTAGGGTTTGGGGTTCAGGGTTTAGGGTTTGGGGTTCAGGGTTTAGAGTTTAGGGCCTAGGGTTGACACGGACTTGGAGTCAATGCGATCAATATCAGTCTTCGGGATTTAGGGTTTAGGTTGTAGGCATGGAAGGTACGGCTTAGGAGTTCGGATTTGCCTTCTGCTTTTTGGTTTGGCGGCCTCCGCTTTCAACAACTCCACTCGAAAGACTTGGCCAGGCCAAGGAGAAGCTTTGCTGTTTCGATGCTTCGCGCAATTGCCGCGCGCCAGGAAGTCTGGACTTTTCTTGTGTTGGTAATGTAGGGGGTTCGGACTCATTGCCCGGTAAAGAGCGTTTATAGGGTTTTTCGGGGCTTTACAGGGCGTTTAGGAGTTTTAGGGTTTTTAGGCTTCAGGGCCTAGGGGGAGGGTTGAGCGTTCAGGATTCCAAGGAAAGGATCTCGAATTCGGGAATAAGCAAACTCATAGCTTCTGAGGAAATGGGATGCCACTTTCTGCTCTTCACGAACGCAGGGCTTTACTCACGCCGATGGGTCTTAGACTTACTACATACCAGGATGCCCAGTAGTGCCCTTATTCCCTTTTTGGGGGGCTTCAGGTTCCCCTATAGACCCCTTTAAGCAACAAAAGGCACCCTATGTTACTGGGCAACCTAGCATACCAATCTGCTAGCTCTTTCCACCCTGCCACCGTCTGGGACCGCGACCCTGCCTACGATCTTCTGCAGAAGGCGAGGTTCCGAGACAAAGCTCACATTGTGGGAGAGGCGAAGTTGGATGAAACCCTAAACCCTACACCCCTTAGCACCTCACGTGATACACCTCTCCCCTTTTGTTTACGGGTTAGTCTCCAGCAAGGGCACACTTTGTGTTTCTAGGCTACTGGGAGAACCTGATCCCGAAACCCCCTGAACCCCCCATCCCCCTAAACCAAAAACCCTTGTGAAACCCTAAACCCACAACTTCTTCGGGATTCGGGGGGCCTCTAATGTCATGGAACTCTACCTTGCACCCCTAAGGTTGCACAATTGGGCTTGAGGACCCTTGTTCAAGATCCTCTAAGGGAATATGAGGGCCATATGAGGTGTATATGAAGGGAACCTCTTCGGCGTACATCCTGAGGGGTCCGAGTCTTCATCCCTTGAAAACCCTAAACCCTAAAACCCGAAAGGATCCGAGCATGACTCCCTTGACCCTAAAACCCTAAAACCCTACAAACCCTATAAAGCCTAAACCCTATAAAGCCTAAAACCCTAAACCCTATAAACCCCAAAATCCTAAGCCAAGGTCACGTACCTGGCGGCGCCCTCAGCGAGATCTCGATGAAGACCAAGAAGGCACCGGAGTTTAGGGTTTAGGGTTTAAGGCTTAGGGGTTAGGGGTTAGGGGTTGAGGGTTCGGGGTTTACTGTTTAGGGTTTAGGGTTTAGGGCTTGGGGTTTAGGGGTTTAGGGTTTAGGGTTTAGGGCTTAGGGGTTAGGGGTTAGGGGTTGAGGGTTAGGGGTTTACTGTTTGGGGTTTAGGGTTTAGGGCTTGGGGTTTAGGGTTTAGGGTTTAGGGTTTAGGGTTTAGGGTTTAGGGTTTAGGGCTTAGGGGTTAGGGGTTAGGGGTTGAGGGTTAGGGGTTTACTGTTTGGGGTTTAGGGTTTAGGGTTTAGGGCTTGGGGTTTAGGGTTTAGGGTTTAGGGTTTAGGGCTTAGGGGTTAGGGGTTAGGGGTTGAGGGTTAGGGGTTTACTGTTTGGGGTTTAGGGTTTAGGGCTTGGGGTTTAGGGATTAGGGTTTAGGGTTTAGGGTTTGGGGTTTAGGGGTTTGGGGGTTTAGGGGTTTAGGTGTTTAGGGGTTTAGGGGTTTACGGGTTTAGGGGTTTAGGGGTTTAGGGGTTTAGGGGTTTAGGGGTTTAGGGTTTAGGGGTTAGGGTGTAGGGTGTAGGGTTTGGGGTTAAACCGGCCCCTCACACCCTCAGCCCCTGAGCAGCAGCCTGTGGCGAGTGTTTGGGGTTCCGGGTTTAAGGCGTCAAGGCTTTTAAGGCGTTTAAGGCTTTTAAGGCTGTTAAGGCTTTTAAGGCTTTTAAGGCTTTAAGGCCTTCAGGCTTTAAGGCTTTCAGGCTGTTAAGGGTTAAAGGGTTTCAGGGTTTAGGGCTTTACGGACTTTAAGGGTTGTAGGAGATTTAGGAACTAGGGTTTTGAGTGAAGGGTCTGGGTCTTTGGTTGAGTCTTACATGTGTGTAGGAGCCACGGTCTCCTGCCGATCCTGATGATAAAAAACACGCATGTCGACCCCTTGATCAGTGAAACCACCTAGCACTAAGCTTGGATTTTTTCAGGGTGTAGGGTTTCACAAAGTCCCAAAACATCCCGGGCGCCACCGCGCGTTTGGGTTTAGAAGGCCCAGAAAGTACCCTTGTAGGAGTATAGGACCCTAGCCTGCCCTCCGATGTACCCAGTCTGGCCTATACGGCCCATGATGTTTATGTCTTACTAACTAACTCTGATGAAAACCAATAGTAGCCAGATGCCTTGATGCTGCTATCATAGGCGACTCTGATGGATACTTGGGGGTCTCAAGGACGAGAGGTGGATGGTGGTGACAGGAACCCTGAGAGGGAAGATATATGGAGTATTCGGGCTTAAGCTTGGGGGTTGGTATTCGAGTGCTTCCTGGTGCACAGTGCAGGAGTTCGAGGGCGACGATCAGGCCGATTCTGGCGATACTTTCTCAGTTTATGTCTGCAGGCGCTTACTGGGAGGCTCCCGGGTGCTTAGCAGTAGGGCTTTACGTACCCAAGCTTTGGGTGAGAAGCACGGTTACCCTAAGCATGACCCTACTAATGACTACCCATGAACCTCCGAACAGGGTCTTTTGAGGGGGAGTGCTGCCTCTTACGTCCAAGATGTATCTCAAGCACTGTACCCAAAGCCCTTGTTGTTCAGTTTCTTCTGCTAGATCCTTTTGAAAAATCCTGGGAACTTGTGCAAACGTGGTGTAGACCAGATCCGAGTACCCTTTAAGGCGTACAATACAACCTCAAGCCCCAGAACCCTCTTTGATTTTACCCTAAGACTTCAGAGCCCTATAAGCCCCATTTGGGTTCGGCCGGTCCACACTAACAGTCACCACCAGCAGACCCACAAATAAAAGCACCCGGTAAATGCCCAAAAAATTGACTGAGATTCCTGCTATTCCTGGTGCTATTCCTGGTGCTATTTCTGGTGCTATTTCTGGTGCATTTTTTTGTGCTATTCCTGGTGCTATTTCTGGTGCTATTTTTTGTGCTATTGTTTGTGCTATTTCTGGTGCTATTTTTTGTGCTATTGTTTGTGCTATTTCTGGTGCTATTTCTGGTGCTGTTGCTGGTGCTATGTGACTAACAATCACCATCAGCAGACCCACAAAAAACAGCACCCGGTAAATGCTAAGCTGCTAAAATTGACTGGGATTCCTGGTGCTATTTCTGGTGCTATTGTTTGTGCTATTTCTGGTGCTATTTTTTGTGCTATTCCTGGCGCTATTTCTGGTGCTATTTTTTGTGCTATTGTTTGTGCTATTTCTGGTGCTATTTCTGGTGCTATTTCTGCTGCTATGTGACTAACAGTCACCACCAGCAGACCCACAAAAAGAAGCACCCGGTAAATGCTAAAATTGACTGGGATTCCTGGTGCTATTTTTGGCCTGTGTGTTATAAGGCCACGGCGTTATTTGACTGTTAGTGTGGACCGGCCGAACCCAAAGCCCCATGGTAAAACGAACAACCCTTCGCCCTGTGAGCAGTAAAGATTCTCAAATCCGCATGAAAATGAAGAATCCAATCCATCTTTGCTTACAGTTCGTGTCAGCGCTTTCATTCAGTAGGCAAAAGACCCTGAACTGGAGATTCCACACGCTTAGCTTCTTGACATTGCCGAGTCCCTGCCGCGTCCATTCACAAAGGAAGCAACAATTGGTTCTTTTGGGGCTGAGGGTGCCAGCGACCCCTTATTGTGAGTACAATCTTATGAACTTCGAAAAAGATCATGTTTTCTCTATGTAGAAGTAGTGGATACAACTACTTGTTGTGTATCATGTGGAGAGCTTCCTAAATCTAGGGTCTTGCCTGGGGCACGCAAATTACGCTTCTGGGCTCTTCTACCCCAAAAAAGGAGCACCACAACTAGGGGAACAACTGTTAAAGCCCCCACTACCAGCAGACCCTCGCCGGCAGGTTTTCTCGCGCGGGGCTCGGTACTCTGCGTGAAGCAGCCAACTTGGGGATTAAACCCTAAACCCTAAATGCTAAACCCTGAACCCTAAACCCTAAACGCTAAACCCTAAACCCTAAACCCTAAACCCTAAACCCTAAACCCTAAACCCTAAACCCTAAACCCTAAACCCTAAACCCTAACCCTAAACCTTAATGCTACGGAGGAAATGGGCGGAGAAGGGAGTGGGGGGTCGAGGGGGGTTCTGTGTCGGTCTTTGCTTAGTGGAAAGGAGGCCCCACATGAAATTCCTCCTAGGAGACATGCCAAAGGAACGAACTGGTTTAGGGGTTTTGGGGTTTAGGGCTCAGGCTTTGCGTTTAGGGTTGAGGGTTTCGGGTTTAGGCGTAGGAATTTGTTGCAATCGCTAACTTCACGCAAGTTTACTGCAGGCAGGAAATAAGGTCCGCTTAGGCTTCCTGATAGCAGGGACCCCCCCACCCCCCCTCCCCCACCCCCCCCCCTCCCCCTCCCCCCGCCCCCCCTCCCCCCCTCTCCCCTCCCCCCCTCCCCCCACCTCCCCCCCCCCTCCCCCCCCCCTCCCCCCCCCCCCCTCCCCCCCCCCACCCCCCCCACCCCACCCCCCCAAAGAAAAAAATATGCGCCCGAAGTTCACTTCAGGTCGTACTGCTACGCAGAGGGCGAATCGTTCCGTCCGGCGCTCTTCCAACAGACGCCTCGCAGCAGTGGCAGACTTTGTATCAGCTCTCGTGGCGGGTGTGCTGAACCAGCCCCGCAGAACCCGAAGCCGAAACCACCATGTGCCCTCAAACGCTGTAGAACCCTAAGCGCTAAACCACGAATGCACCCTAAAAACCTGCAGAGCCCTAAAAGCCCTAGACCCGAAGCCCTAAGCCCTGAACCCTAAACCCTAAACGCGAAGCCCTAAGCCCAAAGCCCCAAACCCGAATCCGTCTCCCAAGGATCCTGGACCACACCCCTCTAGCAGCGCCGGGACGCAAGCGGTTGCCAGGCTCTCCTTGCAGTCTTCTGTTTAGGGTTTAGGGTTTGGGGTTCAGGGTTTAGGGTTTGGGCTTTGGTGTTTGGGGTTTAGGGTTTGAGGTTTGGGGTTTGGGGTTTAGGGTTAGGGTTTAGGGTTTAGGGTTAGGGTTTAGGGTTTAGGGTTTGGGGTTTTGGGTTTAGGGTCTTTTGTTTTGTTGATTTGCTGCTGCTTCTGCTGAACAGCTAAACACAAACCCCTTAACTTGGGATGTTCCCCCTCATACTAGCAGTCCTTGATACGTAGCATAAAAACCTTAAACCCTAAGCCATAAACTCCAATGATAAGAGACCTCAGATGAACAGGGTAGAGGCTGCCATAAGGCAGCAAAACCCCAAACCCTAAACCCTAAACCCCAAACCCTAAACCCCAAACCCTAAACCCTAAACCCCAAACCCTAAACCCTAAACCCCAAACTCTAAACCCTAAAACCCCCTTTTGGTCAAACAAGGTTCAGGGACGAGCACCATCGCTTCTCGGACCTGTCCAGGGCGCGTGCCGCGATGGTGGGTTTTCTTGTTGGATGGATCCTTTTCGGGTTTAGGGTTTAGGGTTTAGGGTGTAGGGTTTAGGGTTTAGGGTTTAGGGACGTGGGGTTGTAGGCCCAGGGCCATAATGCAGCACCCGGTTCAGTTTACCCCTCCACCCCCCAACACATCTGGGCATACAGCAGTTTTTCACGCGACCGCCCCAACCAAATTAAGGGGGGATGGAGAACCTGGGCCTAAACCCTAAACCCTAAACCCTAAACCCTAAACCCTAAACCCTAAACCCTAAACCCTAAACCCTAAGCCCTAAACCCTAAACCCTAAACCCTAAGCCAATGCCCTTCAGAGCTTGTTGAGGGGTTGAAGGGTTTAAGGGCAGTTCTGCCAGGCTGTTGCTCTTCTCAGGGATTGCGTCCAGCCCCGCAAGACGGTGGCTGCCTTACAGAACCACTTAAACCCTAAACCCTAAACCCCGAAAGTGCCCAGAAGTAGTGGCAGATAAACCCTTAACACCTTGTGCCCAAAAGCCACAACATGTGGGGAAGCTTGGGCCCTCTGCAAAAGTGATGTAAAAGCTCTCTATTGAAGATTTCAAGGCTGCTAAGCCATAGAACGCCAAACCCCTAAAAGGAATTGAGTATTTCCCAAAATAGGGTACCCCGTTTATACCTCCAATACGAGAGAATCGCTTCAAAAGGGCCCCCAAAAAGGGCACCCCTATCTTCGAAAACCCCCAATTCAGCCGTGCTTCAGACTGCAAGCTGCCAGCTAAGGAGAGATCGAAGCCTCATACTCAGCTGCCAACTCCTCCAGCTCGCACGTTCTCTCTGGCTGGTTCTTCGTAGGGAATGAGGGAATGAGGTACCCTTTCTAATCCCTTAAAGGGTGTAGAAAGGGCCCTACTTCCCCCGCATTCCCTACAAAGAACCAGGGGGTCTTTGTAAGTTAGGGTCTTTGGCTTCTGGGTTTGGGGGGGGGGGGGGGGGTTCGAAGTTCGGGTCAGGCTACCCCCCCAAGAGATGGGACCAGAGCTTGAGAAGCTGGTCAACATTTTTAACTCGGTTGTTCATGTCGCTGCTGTGCCGACCCCCCCCCCCCCCCAGTTGCCGACCCCACCCCCCCCCCCAGTTGAGGCTTTTTGTGGGGCTCGGTGTCTCTTAGGACACGCTGGCCTTGTTCATCCCGCTGTCGATGACCCAAGACTTGAAGTGCCAGGACCGGGCATCTCCAAATCAATCCTCTGGGGTTCAAGTAGGGGTTTTAGGAAGGATGTAGGATGTAGGGCTTCAGGGCTTTCAGGGCTTACATGCTCCTTGGCTTGGGGCATGCACGCAGCTTAGGGTTCAGGGTTGAGGCCTGAAAGAGGTTTAGGGACCTATGAACCCCTGTACCCCAAAGCCCTACACGCCGAGCTCAAGAATCAAAAGCTCCCATTTGCAAGGACCTCTTCGATCGTACCAAGGTGCGCGAGGGCTTTTTTGCCCCGCCCCGGACTACCCAGGGCGGTATAGGGCGTTCCCCTAAGTGACGCTGAGCGAAAATAAGGATCAAATCAGGCAGAATCCAAAGGTTATTTGGCCATGGTGTTTGGCTCCGGGGGGGGGGGGTAGGGTAGGGTATCCGAGCTTGGTTCAGTTGAGGGCTCATGGGCTTCAAAGGCTGAGCCCTAAACCCTATATATACCGAGGGTTTAGGACTTGATTCGGGCTGAGTTTATGGTTTAGGCTGGTTTAGCGTCATTGGGGCGTTTTGGCTTTGGCTTTTTTTCTTTTTTTCTCCGGGGGGGGGGGGGGGGGGGGGGGGGCCCTAAGCCCCAAACCCCAAACCCCAAACCCGCAAACCCCACACCCCAAACCCCAAACCCCGAACCCCAAACCCTGAACCCTGACCGCCCTGACCCCTGACCCCGAACCCTACACGATTTGACGAGTTCCTTGGCAGGTCATCGGCACTGTCTATGGCAAGAGCTTCGGAGTCTTCGACGGCAGCGAGGACCTGGTCGTCGTAGACTTCTTTGCTTAGGGTTTGGGATTTAGGGTTTAGGGTTTAGGGTTCAGGGTTTGGGGTTTAGGGTTTAGGGTTTAGGGTAAGCTCGAGACCCTGCAGAAGCCTAGAGATCAATCCTTCTTGACTGTTGACTTTCCAGTATGCTTTCGTTGCCTCGGGACTCCATGTGGTGCTTGGCTTCTGGTCTGCTCTTGCTTAGGACTGGAGTTAGGGTTTAGGGTTTAGAGTTTAGGATTTAGGGTTTAGAGTTTAGGGTTTAGCCGTCCCAGCGATTTTGTGAGCTGCAAGTGTACTTTCAGGGGGATAGGGGAGAGGGATAGGGCCTACGGGTAGGGGTTGTTTGCTTTTATTTGCTATCATCCGACACAGAGACAGGAGTTGCAACAACCGACCCTCGAAAATACGGCTAAACCGTAAATCCTAAAGCCCTAGAAGCCCGAAAGCCTTAAGCCCACTAAAGCTCGACATCTTGTATGATATGCACTTGTTGAGGTGGCCGTAGTCAGAAACGGAGAAGCGAGAATGGCTCTTTGCCAGGTTCCTGATGCGCGCTGCGGGTTTGGGGTTTTGATGCGAAGTCGACAGGAGAATCAACATTGCAAACGGCCGAGTGCAGTCAGGCCAGGGGTGCTTCGATGCTCCAAGAAGCTCTCTTCGGGGTTTAGGGGTTTAGGGGTTTTAGGGGTTTTAGGGGTTTTGGGGTTTATAGGGTTTAAGTGCAGGGTTTATGCAGGGTGCTTAGGATCTAGATGTCGCATGTTGAGGTCTCTCCCGTCTTATGATCGATGCTCCTGCTGCAATCCAGTATCATGCTTTCTGCTCCCAGCTTACGTCTGTTGTAACTTGCCGACAAAATTATGCCTGTGTATATATATATATAGACAGATATCAAAAAAGATGCACATACACAAATTCTGCAGCGCCGACTAGGGTGCAGAGTTGCGCTGGCTGTCTGGCACATTGTGCCCCGTGTGAACCTCGATCTGGTCCATCCCCAGCGCAAGAAGATTGAACTCCATGGGCCATGTATCTACTCAGAAGCTGAGAATAACAGGGTTTATCGAGGGCCTAGGGGAAAAGAGTTTATCTAGGATTTTGGGTAATAAGCTTATTTAGGGTTTTAGGGCAAAAGAGTGTTCTTGTCTGAAGACTGCAAGAAGCCCGGTGCAATCGAGAAGCAAGTTGTCTGATGTTGAACTCGCTTTAGTATCTAGCCCCCCCCCCCCCCCCCCCCCCCCCCGAGAGAAAAAAACAAGATTGGGGTGTTTGCTCACCCTCTATGAATGGGCATGGGGTCTGGCGTAGTAGTGGAAATAGTGTTCTTGATTTAGATGACACAGCCGTTATACTTCCAATAATAGCAGGTAGCGATACTAAAACAGCTGCAGCGAGAGAACAGTCATGAAGTCTTATTAGAAGAGCGCGTGAACACTTCTACCTTATCACACGCGCATATTATTTATATTACATTGTAATCATGCGGATGAACTCACCGTAATTGTCCTATGAATAAGAGCACCTGTAATGCAAGAATGGTAGTAATAGTATGTTAAAGGGAGTAAGTGGTAAAGAGTGAACAGAGTGAATGATGCACGCGCGAAACGAACTCACGAATCACTTCGCTCACTTTTTTCGCTCGCTACAACCAGGAGTTACGGACTCCAGATAATCAGGATATACCCTCCCCCCCCACTAGTTTGGGGTTTAGGGGTGGTTTAGGGATTGGGGTTAAGGGCTCCAGAGATCCTTAGGGTATGATTGCAGTGCCGAAGCCCTATGATGCTTTCTGGGCTCAAGCGTGCCGCGGCGCAGGCAAAGGGCGGCCCGGGCGTCCAATCTCGGTAAGCCTTTAGGGTTTAGGGTTTAGGGTTTAGGGTTTAGGGTTTAGGGTTTAGGGTTTAGGGTTTAGGGTCTGGGTCTGGGTTTGGGGTTTAGTGTTTAGGGTTTAGGGTTTAGGGTCAGCCATGGCCGAGATTGAGTATACTGCAGAGACAAAGGCAGAGATAAAGGAGGGCCAGCCCATCACAGTCGCGCTACGGCGATGTGGTGTGGCTGGCGTGGACCGCAGGGTCGAGATTCTCTGCGCAACTCAGCAGGGAAAGCCCGTCTGTCAGCCCATACAGCTGGCGGTTGACGCTACAATCAAGGACCTGGAGGCCTCCGTGGCGACGGAGCTGGCACTTGACCTGGACGAACACATGCACGTGTTCCAGAACAGAGGAGGGCAAGTAGACGAGCAGTTCTTGGAAAGTGATCTCACAATAGTGGCGGTGCTTTGGCACTCCAATCAGCTTACGCTGAAATTTGGGGCTTTGCTGAAGGCGACTCCCGATTCTCTACCGGGCAAGACCATCACAGCAAGCTTTCGTCGTGACGACAGCGGGCTGGAGGTTCGTTGCACGCTCCTCAGTGCAAAGGAGCACTGCAGACTGTTTCTTAACGCTACATCTACACTGTGGGACTTGCAGAACTCTGTGGCGGAGGAGGACCATGACCTACACAAGCAAAGCCTATAGACTGTCATTTCACTCGTCCTACAGAGTCAGGCATACAGATCTTCGAGGAGAACCTCCGATTGTCAGAGTATTCAGAGCTTGGCCTGGAACCGCTGACGCTCAGCTTTCGGTCATGGCCATGGCGCGAGGGTGCTCGAAAGTATCTGGCGGCCCAAGCAGCCGAAGACTTCTACCCCAAAGCAGCCGCCTTCGAGGGGAAGTGGACTCTGAAGAGGGCAGGGTTTAGGGTTTAGGGTTTAGGGTAGAGGAGAGAAGACAAGAGAGAAGAGTTTAGGGTTTAGGGTTTAGGTCACTGGGGAGGAGGTGGGGGGCATTGTGAAACCTTTTCTGGAACGTTGGGGGGCCTCCAACACGGCCATGGCCGTCCAGATCATGCGGGTCTTCTGGCGCCTGATCCGGCCTATGGAGGGTTGGAGACACTTTTAACTTAGAGGTGCTCCAGCATTTTGATCCAGGCCTGAGGACCATCAAACATGCATTTTACCAACACTGGCTGCAGCTGGCACAAGACTCTATCACAGAAAGAGTGCCGCGAAGGCCTGGTCCTATCTTTCTGTCAAAAAGAAACGAGGGTGGCAACATCATTGGTGTGGGTCTCTTTGGTGTCGACGGCTGCTTTCCCGACCATGTCGACAGGAACTTAGAATAATCACTGGTATTGAGTAGCGTAAGCCCCCAAGCTGATGTGTCAGCCCTGATGCATGCGGCGGCTTCCTTGGACTTGGGCTTAAATCCAAGCCTGCCCACAAGAGACTTGGCCAGCACGCTGCAAGCGCGACACTTCCCACAGCTGGATCCTCGCCCAAGCCCAGAGGATGTTGTGAGGATGGCTCACGTGCTGCTCCGGCTGTTTTGTGAGTTTCCGGTTGTGGAAGTGGAGGGGAACTTGCACAGGCCTCCCATCCAGCATGTGGCAGCGCTGCGAAGGTGGCAGTTGAAGGTCCTGCACTTCTCCGACGGTGAGCGCTTCCGTTCCGATTCCCAGGCTTGCGTGGACTCCCGGGCAGAGACCGGAGACCCGAGCCATCATGTCAGAGCTCTGGATGCAGAGCAGCAGGACTCCGGGCAAGCTGGATTGATGCTAGTGCACCTTCCAATCAAGCGTCTGGGCGATGTCGGCGATGTCTGCCGGAAGTTGAGCCAGAGTGCTCCCGTCCGCTTCATCATCTGCATACAGGAGCTGCGCGCATGACAGCTCTTGGTCGCCCACACCAGCTGTTTTGCTGCTTCACTCTATTGACAGTTTCCCCTGTGTGAGAGAACAGGTCTTGCTGCAGATATGCGTTCTCTCAAACAGTGCTTACACTTGTCACTCGCTCATCGTTGTCGGCTTTTGGGCCCCAGCAGATCCACGACAGACCTGTTCTTTAATAAGAACGATAGGATTCGGTCACAGGAGTTGTGTCTCGCTGACAGTGCTGCGGCGAGAGCTGCGCAACAACCGCACTGCAAGTTGCGGAAGGGTTCGAAAGAGGCCTCACGTGTGCTCACGTGCAATCCCCCCCCCCCCCCCCCAGTACGGGGAATTGAGCAGTCCCCTCAACATTTGCATTGCATCATGGAGCTGCTGACTGGGTAAACCCTAAACCCTAAACCCTAAACCCTAAACCCTAAACCCTAAACCCTCGAAAATTGACGTGTGAGCAGGTCTATTGCGGAATCGCTGCCCACGCCGGCTGGCGCGGAATCCGATGACATGTGTGCCTCGGTTCGGCTTCAAGTGCGGGGTTTAGGGTTTCGGGTTTAGGGTTTGGGGTTTGGGGGTTTGGGGTTTAGTGTTTAGGGTTTAGGGTTTAGGGTTTAGGGTTTAGGCCTTACAGGCAACTTCGTCGTTGTTGATGTGACGCTGCGAGCGTGCAACCGTACCATGGGCCCTTTTGAGGGCATAGTTCTAAGGGTAGTTTCATGGACCCGCAATCTGCACAGGGTATATACGTGCATATAAGGGGTACCCTTTTAAGGGCCCATAGTCAGGGCCCATGCAACTACCCGAAGAATAGTGCCATGTTTGCGAAGGGTTGATTTGACAAAGCCGCAGGCATACACCCTTGAACCTTTTCAACTCCATACCTGGAGGTTCAGGGTACTCATCACCCCATCTATAACTGTACTTATCAGCCCCTCAAGTCCCCTAAGTAGGTCAGAAGTAGACTTATAACTGGAGTTAGAAGTACCCATGAACCTCCAAGCAAGCGTTGTTGTCTAGATGACCTGCTCTTTCAGGTACACTGCCGCAAGAAACCCTGATCCCCAAGGTCTGTGTGTTTCGAAGTTGTCAGAACGACTCCCTAAACCCTAAACCCTAAACCCTAAACCCTAAACCCTGATAGTCGCAGCCTCTCCGCTCCCCCAGAGGCCGGATTTTCTCCCTGGAGCTTCCGGCGACTTGGATGTTTGGGCGACTTAAGCTGCCTGGGGACCCCCTGCCTCTCGAACCCTTGCAGCCTTGAACCCCGAACCCTGACCTCCCAAAACGCTCTAACACAGCAGCAGCCGACAAAAAATTGCAATCAATATGCCAATAATATCGTCCTCATACAGAAATTATGATAGTCCTTCTACAGTTACTGTCCCAAAAAACAAAACATGCCCATTCCATTCCATGTACATATTAGGGCCTCTACATAACACCCAGCCTGAAACTCCAAGGAGACATATGGTCCCTGAATATGACCCCTTACCTCCTTTATAGGGGGGGGGGGGGGGGGGGGTTCTGAAGTTTTGGCCTAAACCCTAAAGCCTAAACCCTAAACCCTAAACCCTAAACTCTAAACCAGTTTGAAACTCCAAGGAGACACCAGTAGCTGCCCAGATCAACTTTGCGTCCTGGCGACAGCACATGCCGCCCTGTGCCTTGGTTGCGCTGCAGGGCTTTGGTTTATAGGGTTTAGGGTTATTAGGGTTTAGGGCTTTAGGGTTTAGGGTTTACGATTTAGGGTTTAGGGTATGGTGAGTTCAAGAAGGGTGTGGTTATGACGCAAGCTTATTTTACACACACACACATACATCCCACCTCAGTGCCTGATCGTCATCATAGTCACAACCATATGTCAGCATGAATGAGATGTTCTGCCTTTGTCGGCTCCTCTTTTCGGACCCTGAATCCTAAGCCCAAAGCCACTTCGTCCCCTTGGCAGTGCCAGCAGCTGTGGGTACTTTTCCGCCTAGAGGTGCGGAGACTGTCCTCATCAGCGCGGCTTGGCCCAGCAAGCAGACTCTACAGCACCGGAGGTTGAGTCGGGCTCTGTGGGTTCAGGACGAATATGGTGGAGGATTCTGTGCTCACGAGCTGTTGCGAGACAAACGACCACTAAGATCGTCAGTTCTGATATGTCCGACCATCAACTTCCTGTCTAAGTCCCTAAGACGCACAAGAGCCAGGTTTGTTTGCTGTCAGGAGGTTTGGCGATGTGCGGTGTTCATGGCAATTTTCACTGACCCTTGGGGGGAGCCTGTAATATACCTTGCAAGGCAATCTTCCCATCTCGTTTTGTGGCTGCTCGGAAAGTATGTATTTGGGACACGACGCAAGCTCAGACACCGAACATCTGCCCGTGATTGCCCTAAAAGCCCGAACCCTAAACCAAAACTTACATATTATAACCTATATTATATATTAGAATATCTATACACATCCGAAACCCAGCAAGAGCTTCTCTTCAGGCCCCATGTTCCCTCGACGCAGATTCTGCCAGCCCGAGAGAGCCCCTAAATCACCAAACCCTGAAGCCCCAATCCCCAAAACCGTGCGAAAACCCACTCAACCCGACCCTCAACCATGTAAACCCTAAACTCTAAACCCTTACACTTCTAGCAACGGCGCCCTAAACCCTACGGATGCCGCCCAAAAACCTCCAACATCCGCAGAAGCGAAGAACCAATCCCCCCCAACCCCTGGGCTTGTCAAACCCTAAACCCTAAACCCTAAACCCTAAACCCTAAACCCTAAACCCTAAACCCTAAACCCTAAACCCTAAACCCTAAACCCTAAACCCTAAAAGCTGCAGCTGAGGACGCCAACGCCAGGATCCTACGCCTTCTCCTGCATTTCATGTCTTCTTTCGGTCGGTGGGGTTTAGGGTGTAGGGTTCAGGGTTTAGGGTTCCTTCCGTGGGGTTTGGGATGTAGGGCTTAAGGGGCTCGAGATCCTGCATTTCATGTCTTTCTTCTGTGGGGTTTAGGGTGTATGGGCTGGGGGGCATTTACTGAGGGGCTCTTTAGCCTAAACCCCTTGCCCTGGCCAACCCCACTAATGCCTAAACCTGACGGACCCTTGAGCCCCACCCCAAAAGAAGCCCTTAAATTGCACACACTCTTTTCCGAAAGATCTGAACCCCAAAGCCCAAATCTCAACCCCAAACCCTTGAGGTCAGGCAGTGGCTGCCAGACATCCCCGAGGACTACTTCCAGCTCCCGGGCCCGGAGGAGAAGCTAGACTTCCTCAGGCCGCACGTTTTTGCATGTCGATATGTCCTCATTACCCAATAGGGTTTAGGATTTAGGGTTGAGGGTTATATTGGGGGTTCCTTATTATTATTGTAAGCGGATCCTACTATTTGGGGGTCTATATGAGGTGTCCCTGATTATCGTCAACCCTCCCATATACCAAGCTATTTTTTCATAGTCGTAGCAGTCTTATGTTAAGAATACTGTTCAGGTTCGTATGTATTCAGTAAACACAGCAACTCCAATGACGTTCGGCATCGACTTCCAGGGGCCTCTTTAGTGGTGTGAAAGTAGGAGTCTGGGGAGGGAATGTAGGTACCACTCCAGGGGTTCCGCACATTAGTGGTCCGTTTCTGGACACCTGTTTACACCGGGTTCTCCTCCCTTGCTGGAGGGCCATGCAGGGCGAGGTTGACTTTTGGGAACTCCCATGTTAGGGGATCTTAGAAGTGGATTCCTTTCCAATCCTCTCTCACGCAGAGGAAGGTAAAAACCACAAAGCCCTTGCATTTTGCTCAGGGTGACCATGAAGCCCATAATGCCCTAAGGCCCTGAGGGTTTAGGGTTTAGGGTTTAGGGTTTAGGGTCTCCCCTACTCCAAAGCCATGCAGACTGAGCCCCGTGCAGCGACAGGCACGGCTTACTCTTCCACCACGGCGGCATCGTCATGCGTAGGGACACCGGGCTCGCAAGAAGGGACGGCCAGTCAAAGGTTTAGGGTTTATAGAGCTTATAGAGTTTATAGAGTTTATAGGGTTTAGGGTTTAGGGTGATTTGGCCTTCGGAAAGCCCGTGCTGGAGCTGTGTTTCAGGTTGCGGGTTCAGCAGCCAGCTCATGAGGGGTTGCGTCCACTGGCTTCAATTGTTCTAAATCATGTCCCCCCTTTCGGGGTACTTCAAGTACAAGGACCCGTGCTAGAATAGGTTAGGGTTCAGGGTTTAGGGTTTAGGGTTTAGGGTTTAGGGTTTAGGGTTTAGGGTTTAGGGTTTAGGGTTTAGGGTTTAGGGTTTAGGGTTTAGGGTTTAGGGTTTAGGGTTTAGGGTTTAGGGTTTAGGGCTCCAGGGGGGTTAAGTACGTTTTCGGATGTTGGGGTCGAAGGACGTCGTGGCGGCTCAGAGCCTCGAAACCACGATGACGCTGGCATCGTTGGTGGACCTGCTGTCGCGCCTCGATCCGCACACGTTCTGCGCGTATTATTTGGAGGTTCATGGTACTTATTCGCCAATTTATAAGTGCAGTGTGCTTATAAGTGTACTTATTGCCATCTTCGGGCACTTAAGGGGCTTATAAGTGGGTTATAAGTACAGCTGTCATTGGTCAATAAGTACCATGAACCTCCAATTAACGCTTCGGATGCAAAGTGTTAAGTGCTTTCGTATTGCCCTGATGAAGTGCCTTCCCTAAACCCTAAACCCTAAACCCTAAACCCTAAACCCTAAACCCTAGCAACCAGCAGGTTGAACACACACCCTCCAATCTACAGGTCGGCGGAGGAGAATGGCGGAGGCTCAGCCTGCGGGGTCCCCGGCCGAACTGCCACTGACTCCTGGTTGTGCTTCAGGGCTTTAGTGCTTTGGATGGAAGGTTTAGGGTTTAGGGTTTGGGGTTTAGGGTTTAGGGTTTTTTAGGGTTTAGGGTTTAGGGTTTAGGGTTTAGGGTTTAGGGTTTAGGGTTTAGGGTTTAGGGTTTAGGTGCAGGCTTTATGGCTCATAGGGCTTAGAGTTTGGAGTTCAGTTTTTAGCGGTGCTTTAAGGTTCTGGGGCTTACTTGGAGGTTCATGGGACTTAATAACCACTCATAATTGGGCTTTTAACCCTACTTATAATACCCCTAAAGGGCCTTATAGGGGTTATCCCAATTATAAGTAGGGTTATACGCCCAGTTATAAGTGGTTATTAAGTCCCATGAGCCTTCAAGTAGGGCTCATAACCTGAATCCCAATTACCTACATTATTACTTTTGGGGAACCTGCCACCTTAAGCCTTAAGAACAGGCTCACAACCTCAATGCCTTAACCTCTCGACTACGCGAGATTTCCATCAGCCGCCTGAATGCCTGAAGCATCAAAATCCTATACTGCAAAACCTCAAGCCCCAAACCCGAAACCCCTGTATCCCCTAAAACCCCTCAACAACCCTTAAAACCCCCAACATCCCCCTAAAACCCTAAGACCCTAAACCCCCCAACACCGCCTGTAACCCCTAAAACCCCTCAAACCCTTAGACCCTAGAACCCCTAAAACCCCTGTAACCCCTAAAACCCCTAAAGCTTTAGGACCTTAAAACCCCTAAAACCCCTAAACCCTAAAACCCCTAAAACCCTACGACTGTAGATCAAGTGGGCCCCGAGGTGGCGGTTCCTTCCAAGGGTCCCTGATGATGGGAGGGAAGAAGGCCCCTGTGGCCAAGATCAGGATTGGGTCCTGCAGAAACAACTTCGTGTTTTAGGGTTTAGGGTTTGGGGTTTAGGGTTTGGGGTTTAGGTTCAAGGGTTAACAGGCGGGGGAGCTAGCTAGCTGGCTAGTCCAATGTGCGGGCAGGTGTGTGGCGCAAGCGAGAGGGAGAGGGCTAGGGTTTAGGGTTTAGGGTTTAGGGTTTAGGGTTTAGGGTTTAGGGTTTAGGGTTTAGGGTTTAGGGTTTAGGGTTTAGGGTTTAGGTTTTTGAGTCTTTGGCAATTGGTGTCGGTGGGAAGGTGCCTGGTTGGAAGGCATGAGACGTATGCTAACTAGATTGCAAGTTCATCATGTCGGTCGAAAAAAAGGTTAAGCGAGCTTTCCAGCCTCATCCTGTATCTTACAATGGAAGGACCCTGTTCCGGCCACAGCCTACATCTTAAGATGAAGCTCACCAAACCCCCCAGCTCGGACTACTCCAAAACCTCGTCAGCCTACAAGCACTTTACAGAATCCCCTAACTCCGAAGCCCCTCAAGCTTCGAAGCGCACGGCTGGCAGGGCAGCGCCTATCACGGAGTAGCCTGGACGCTGGCCAAGAGGGCCATTTCCCAGCACTGCCCTCCGGAAGATCGCAGCAAGGACCACTTCGCTCGCAACAACACCCAGAATCTGTTTGATCGGTTTGTCATCACAGCTTGACTGACAGGAGATCATTTGCTGCTTCGACGGCCCAGAGCACCTTTGCAAGGACCAGTTTTGAAAAGGTCGTGAATTCGGAAGCCTTGATACGCTTGAAAAGTACCCGCCGTCCTTCCTCGGTACACAGTCTGATTCTAGCCCCAGCTCCTTTCACATCCCGTGTTCAGGCGCCACCCGTGTTAAGACTGGCTGCCACTGGCTGCTTAGGAGGGATAGAGGGAATGAGGGAATGAGGGCCCTTTATAAATGCCTTAAAGGGTTTATATGTAGGACCCTTCATAATCCCTTAAAGGGTATATGTAGAGCCCTTTATAATCCCTTAAAGGGTATATGTAGGGCTCTCATTCCCTGATTCCATCCCCTTGTGGACCCAGGCAGTGCCACATACCTGGTGGCAGCCTTGGTGATAGCGCCTTGGCAGCCCAAGCGTTGCTGCCACAGCGTTGCGATACGACGACGACTCTCCGAGACTAGGGTTTAGGGTTTAGGGTTTAGGGTTTAGGGTTTAGGGTTTAGGGTTTAGGTTTTAGGGTTTAGGGTTTAGGGTTTAGGGTTTAGGGTTTAGGGTTAGGGTTTAGGGTTATACAATTACAGTAGTATAGGGTATGATGTGACCCCAATTATTGTAGTTATGACTAGCCAGGCCAGATGAAACGCTTGCATATAGTGCTTGCTGGTAGGCAACCCAAAATTTGGTTGTGCAGGTCGCTGTTTTTGCTGCTACCATGGGAGGTGTGACTCACTGCCTGGATGTTCTTCGACCCCAAACCCTAGACCCTAAACCCTGAGAGCCAAGGCCATTCGAGCAGGGTGAAGCGGATGTTCGAGGCACCGACCGACATCTTCTCCACGGAAGGGGCTACCGGGGGGAGTAGGGTCTCGGAAAGTATATACTATAGAAGCCTTATTGAGTAGAACAGGTTTTTGGGGGCTATTATCGTATAATCATGGAGGGATCTTATAAGGGACTACTTTTGGTAATTGTTCCGACCCTTCTATTCGCACGACTTGCGGGTGAACTTTCCTCCTCATGCATGCGCCGTACACCTCCATTCTCGACCCTAGACAGCCGACAGCCACTGTAATGGGGCTAACTGTATACTTGTAAGCCTGGGAGTCTAAAACCTGGCCCTTTAGGGTTTAGGGTTTAGTGTTTAAGGACACAATACCTTGGTCCCTGCAAGTATAGGGTATTTAGCCTTGAGGTTGCCGGTTTGAGCCTGGACTCCCACTGCCTCGCTGGACAAGACTCGATTCGGCCTGCATCTTGTCTGCTGTTTCATCGTGGGAGCCATTACAGGGCTCTCAATAGACCTTTCTTCGAAGGCCCCCCCCAAAAAGTCCCTAAACCCTAGACTCTAGACCCTAAGCCCTTAACCCTAAACCCTAAACCCTTACAAACCCTAAACCCTAAACCTTAGCCACCCTGAAATCCTATTCGTGTGGTGCCGCTGTGGCAAAGCTCAATGGGCTTCACTCCGGGAAGCTGGCTGAGGCCTATTTCCAGTTCGTGCTGGACCACAAGCGAAAGTTCCTCATCCGCAGAGGAAGTGCAGCTGGGTGTTGAGGATGCCATGATAACGGCTGTGTGTTCCCAAGAGTTCAGAACATTCTGACTAGTTATTTCTTATTGCTTCTACTATAGTACTTTAGCCATGCGTACTACATACTTGATTCCGTGTAGCAGCACTAGCAGTAGCGATTAGCGAGTAGCAGCAGTAGCGCTAGTACTAATACCAGTAGTTGCAGTGGTGGTAGTGGTGGCAGGGTTGGTAGTGGTGGTAGTTGTAACGTCCAAGCCCTTGGAAACCTTGATCGCCCTGTGGTACCCTTCACCCATTTTTTTGGGTTTTGGGTTCCTTGAAAAAGCAACCAACCCAAACAAGGGTGCCCTTTTTGTAATATGGTTACCGGGGCTCCCAAGAGACCCTTTAAAAATCTACTTCGCCCTCCCCCAAAAAAGTCAAGCACCTTGGGATGTTCCCCCTTATACTAACAGCCCCTAATCGGGATTATAATTGGTGGGGGGGAGGGGGGGTACTATAATCCCTATTCAGGACTGTTCGTATAAGGGGGAACATCCCAACCTAAACATACCCTAACCCTAAACCCCTACACCCCTACACCCTAAACCCTCAACCCTCAACCCTCAACCCTAAACCCTAAACCCTAAACCCTAAACCCTAAACCCTAAACCCTAAACCCTAAACCCTAAACCCTAAACCCTAAACCCTAAACCCTAAACCCTAAACCCTAGCCCTAAACCCTAAACCCTAAACCCTAAACCCTAATTAAACCCTAAACCCTAAACCCTAGCCCTAAACCCTAAACCCTAAACCTGTTGGGCCCCCAAGGCTCGCGGATGCCAGCGAGTACTTCACGACCAATCGGCACATGCAACTGCTGAACAGGCCGGGGCCTTCTGCCTCCCCAGGTCATGTGCAGGTCAGTGTAGGTTTGAGGGTTTGAGGGTTTGAGGGTTTGAGGGTTTGAGGGTTTAGGGGTTTGAGGGTTTGAGGGTTTGAGGGGTTTGAGGGGTTTGAGGGTTTGAGGGTTTAGGGTTTGGCTTTTTCATGTGTAGTATGCTTTGCTCCCTGTAGAATCCTCAAGAACCCTAAACCCTAAACCCTAAACCCTAAACCCTAAACCCTAAACCCTAAACCCTTGGCAGGACTGCTTTCTACATCCCCTTGGCGGATGCCAAGCGCGCGTGCCCGGATTTCTTCGAGATGCAGACGGCCCTTGGGGCTTGCAAGAGCCTGGATCTTCAGTTGGGGTTTAGGGTTTAGGGGGTAGGATGCAGGGTTTAGGGTTTAGGCACTATTTTTGCCGTCCTATACTTTCAGAAGCAAATGGCCACCCTTGAACCAAGATTACAACCAAGCTCCATGATTAATGGTGTCACGGGCGGAACTCAAGGCATTCAATCACCTACGGATCACACAAGAACCACACGCAGCTTGATGACACCAAACCACTGAGGGCAAGGCCTACCCAGACCTTCCAAAACTCCTTAATTAAGGAATATACCCTAATTTATAATCAGGATCCTTAGTATAAACAGTATGTTCCTTATTTAGGGTTGTTTTGGAAGATCTGGGTAACCCTCTCTCCCCCAAGCCTTTGCGAGAGGTCGTGGGGGCAGTGGCTTGGCCGCAAAAGCCCGCAGAATGGAGTCCTCCATTGCCCATCATTGCCCTGGTAATTTTTGACGGCTTAGGATTCCAGGTAGGAAGTATCTTGGCCTGTAAATCCTAGAAATATTTAGAGCAAGTATAATTTTAACCCATGAACGACCTTGACGACCCCGGCCCAGGTCTATGCCAAGAGCTTTGGCCACTCTGACGATGGGTTCTGCCCCTTGTAGGCTCATGGCGACAGCCGAATCCGTCTCCCGCGCGAAGCCGGGAGTGCAGAGCCTCCCCTGAGCATCTTGCACGCGAAGACTTGGGGCCTAGGGCCCTATAGGGCCTATATAGGGCCCTATAGGGCCTACTTAGGGCCCTAGGGCAAAAGTAGGGTTCCAAGAGGCTCCCAAAGGTCCAAGATCTGTGAAGGAGCTCTTCCGGAGCTCGCCCGCCTCGACGGCGTCTCTGTGTACCCGACCTTTTTTGGGCAGGAAGTGCGCACTTGGAGTGCGGCAAGCGACCGCTTCTTCGCACGCGGAGCACACGCCTGTGTCACTTCGACCGGCTAGCTCCGAAGTTGCTCGCGGCTCGGAGCCGGGGCGCTGGCATGAACCTGGCACAAGCTGGCCGACACCCGCAGCACAGCTCTGATCCATCTGGCCTAGCAGGGCAGCGTCTCGGTGAGCATGAGAAAGCGGACTCAAAAAGAAAGAACTTCGGTGATGCAGGACCCTTAAGACCGACATGGTGGCTTCCCAAAACAGGGGGTACCCCTAACATACCCCAAAAGACTGTATCCCTTATTATAGGAACCCCCAAAAAAGTTATCCCGAGTTTTCGGAAACCCCCTACATTAACGAACTCCTCTCAGTCCTTGGGTTTTAAAGCCGATACCAGGTACAGAAGCGACTCAAGGAGGACTTGGCCATCCAGCACCGGGACTCCCTCTATGAGGTGAGAGCTTTCTCTATGCATCTCAAAATATGGGAAAGGCCCAAAACGCTAGGCTGGCAACAGGCCCCCGGGCGGGCACGGCGCGACGAAGGTTTGTAACAAAAACTGGTTCTTGCGACAAGCCTTGCGTGACAAGGCTTGCGACAAGGGGCGTTTTCTAGAATGCAACGCGACAAAGGTTTGAAACATAGTTGGCGCGATAAGGGTTTGTAACAAGGTGGCCCCCCCCCCCCCCCCCCCCCCCCCGCGACAAGAGGGATATTGGGCCAAGCCCATATAGATCCTTCTTTATTTATTGGGTATTTGTGTAGTTATCAGTATAATATACATGCATATATAAACAGCCTTACATACACGCACTTCTGCTTCACAAGGGAGGGGGACGGCCATAAACGGGGGTTTTGCTTTGAGGTTCAGAGCTCCTTTTTGACGGGGGCTGCTTTGATGCATACGGCCCTATAGCTTGCAACGGTTTGCCTTAGCCTCAGAACTTGGGAGCATGTGCATTAGGGGCTCTTGCATATGAGGTGCCCCCCTCTCTCTCTCTCTCTCTCTCTCTCTCTCTCTCTCTCTCTCTCTCTCTCTCCTGCTCTCCATGTCTTTTGCCGCCCTGGGCTCACGCTGCCTTTTTCACAGCGTACCTTGGGTGGAGCCTGCCTGCTGCCATGTGGTCCCGACTACAGGGCCGGCAGCCTCAGCTGAGGGTCTCTGAGGGCTTGAGAGGTTTAGGGTTTAGGGTTTAGGGTTTAGGGTTTAGGGTTTAGAGCTTGGCTTTCTAGAGCACGAAAAAAACACAACCTAAGACTACACCGTTCTTGATAAGCGAAATCTGAGTTTAAAGAAAGAACTTATCCACAAATCAATGCAAAATGGGGCAGTCCTTTCGAGCACCCTAAGCCAAACAAGGGCTTAGGGTTTCGGGTTTAGGGTTTAGGGTTTAGGGACAGGAATTCAAACGAGGGACACCACAGTTTTGGGAAGGTAATTGCTGAGCATCCAAGGTCTGGCGTAAGCAGAAAGCCACACCCCAATAAACCCTAAACCCTAACATCAGGAGTTTTCGGGGCTTCTGCAGTGCCCTTAGGCCCCCCAGCCCCCCAGCCCCTTGAAAAACCCATGCAAACCCCAGATAGGCCCTAAAAAACATAAACCCTAGATAAACCCTACATAGGCCCTTTTTTCAGCCCTATATATAGAACGTTTAGAAGCTCAAGAACCCATGTAAACCCCGACCCTAAACACCCTATATAAGCCCTTACTAAACCATTGAACCTTATATAAACCCTATAATATAGGGTTTCTTGTAAAACGATAAGGAATACATTTTGGCGATAAGGTTTGCGCGGTACTTGCGTTTACGACCGGGCTTTTTTGGCTAGCCCGTATAAACCTCAGATACGCCCTATAAGAACCCTTTTTCAATCCTAGATAAACCCTTTCTAAACCCCATATAAACCGAATAAAAACCGCATCAAACCTGTAAAAACCCTGTAAAAACCCTGTAAAAACCCTATAAAATCCGACAAAAACTCTGAAACCACCCGAGAAAAAGCCTTTCTCCACCCTGGAGGCGCCAAGGCGCCTACATAAACCCTGTAAAAACCATGTAAACACTCCCGATCTACACCCTACACACACCTAAAGCCTGCATAATAAATATAAATAAATAAATAAATAAATATATATATATATATAATTATATAATGTAAACCAAAATGATAATAGCAAAATATTTATTGTTTAAAATAAGACATGTATAAATACCCCTTTCTCAACCCTCGAGGCGCCTTGCGCCCTCCGGCTCTGGTGGCCGCCGCCGCGGTTCTACCAGGGCTGTGGCCCGAGGGGCGAGGCCCGGGATTGGGCCGAAACCCCTTGTAAACCCTAAACCCTAAACCCGAAACCCTTGTAAAACCCCAAGCCCTAAACCCTAAACCCTCCGTGACACATGGGTATTTCTCTAAATAAGTTTCCATTTCGGGGTCCCTAGATAGTACGGCGCCTTGTAATCAATCCATCAACTCTCCAGACATCAAAAGTCTCAAGTCCCTCACGTCCCGGCGCGAACTCCTGCCTGGTTCTTAGTCTATAGGGAATGAGGGAATTATATAGCGTCCTATATAAATAAATAAATATATATATATATATATATATATACAGATATATAGATATATATATATATAGGTATATGTGTAATTACCCTTTGAGGAAATATTTAGGGTACTCATTCCCTGATTCCCTACTAAGAAGCAGCCAGACTGCTGCAAGATGTGGCAAGATAGAAGTGTGCCATCTCAGGTCGCCCTGACCCTGGGCTGGTCATAGCTACCCTGCACAACAGAAAAGGGCAGGCACCCACAAGAGGCGACCCTAATTTGGACAGGTCAAAAATCCCCCAACTTTCTGACATGTTCATGGGCGGCATGCGCTGACGTCCGCCACTGAACTTCAAGACCACCTTTAATCTACGATTGCTTGACGGCTATTTCCTATCGCACACCTTTTTTATTTCGCCCGGAATCACCTCTTATGAAGAAGGTCTGCCGGCCATGTCCCTTTGAGGCTTCATGCTTCCTGTCGCCTCTTCCGGTGTAGGGCTTCTGGACAGTGGGTCCCTTTCGTTGCGTTGGGGAGCTACAGGAATTGGAGTCCAAGGCTTGTTCTAGGTCGCAGCACAAGGGTCGCCGCCAGCCAACCTAAAGAACCCTGCACAACCCTGAGTCCCTGACCCGAACCCTAAACCCTAAACCCTAAACCCTAAACCCTAAACCCTGTCATCCTTACAAGCCCCGAACCCTTCTTAGGCCTAGAGGCTCCTGCGCCCTAAATTCCGGCTAGGACCCAGAGCAGGCCCTTAGTTCCCCTGTTTTTAAGGGCTTAGGTTCCCTTATGAAGCCCTTTAAGACTACAAGGGTGCCAGTGTAGGGTGCCGTTGTTACTCCTCGGTTTGCTCTTGGGACTAGCTGGTGCAGGTAGCTGGCACACGCGCCAGAAGCAAAAGCTGATCTCCTGCCATTCCGACCATGCCGCTTGGGCATTTAATATGTAGGGGCCTGAGGAATGGAGTTTATTTGGGGGTTCTTGTAGTATAATTATGAAGGGACCCTAAGGGCATCTTACTATAAGAATTCCGACCCCTATGCTACCCCCGACGCTCTTCCAGGTAGGCCCTAAGGACATTTTGTGTTTTCCCTTATTGGGTTTAAGAGGATCATATTAAGGCATATTTTTCCGGGTTTAAGGGTAAGCCCGGTCATGGGCTAGGACCGTTAACAAGTTCTAGTGGGGAAAAAAGGTAGTTACCTTTTCTTTTCCCACATGTGCAGCAGTAGGGTTCCCGTGTTAAGAGTTGAGGTTCGTGAAAGCCCCTATATATACCTTACATACCCAAGTAGACCCTAAACCACCTCCAAAAAAATCCAAAGGTCCCTTATAAGGTTCTCTCCTTTAGTCCCCTGAGTCTGGGGTTGGGGAGGTTTCTGTCGGCGTGCGAGTGCTCGCAATAGTTCGGATGGATCTTTGGGGCTTTGCCTTGTACGAACCCCGGGTTTAGGGTTTAGGGTTTAGGGTTTAGGGTTTAGGTTTTAGGGTTTAGAGTTTAGAGTTTAGGGCTTAGGGCTTAGGGTTTAGGATTTACTTAGGGCTTAGGGCTTGGGGCTTGGGGCTTGGGGTTTGGGGTTTGGGGTTTGGGGCTTGGGGTTTGGGGTTTAGGGTTTAGGGTTTGGGGTTTAGGGTTTAGGGTTTGGGGTTTAGGGTTTAGGGTTTAGGGTTCAGCGTTGAGGGGCAACCTGAGGTTCAGTGTGTTTGTTGAGGCAGAGAGAGTATCCAGAGGTTCAGTGTGTGTCTGTGGTCGAGGACCGTGGGCGTATTGGGGCTTAGGATTTGTATACATGTGGTTTAGGGTTTAGGGTTTAGGGTTTAGGGTTTAGGGTTTAGGGTTTAGGGTTTAGGTGTTTCGAAAACCCTAAACCCCAACTAGACCCTAAACCCCAAACCGGAATCTGCTCTTGGGACTGGTTCCTTTCATTCTTAAGCCCTGACTAGCGCTGGAGACGCGTCACTCTCAAGGGTTTAGGGTTTAGGGTTTAGGGTTTAGGGCTTAGGGTTTAGGGTTTATCTTCTTTCTTGGTAGCCCAGTGGTACCCTTTTCCCGTTGTTTGGCTCAAAGTTTCCTTCTAAAGTAGCCTACCCCAAAAAACGTATGCTTGTTTTGATATTATATGGATGCTGGGCTACCAAGCTTTTCCAGGTTCGGGCCCCCTTATGCAGCTACTATTTTTTTCGA